TTCCTCTGGATCGTCTTCCCACTGGTCCTCTTCGGTCGAAAATTTTTCTGATCGTTTCATCTTCATCTCGCCTAATTACATGTCCTATCCATCAAAGGCGTACTAATTTAATAAATTTTACAACGTCAGGTACTACACCTGAAGAAGCATCGTAGTTTACTTTATACGATCTTTTTGACCAAGCACCATCAGCTATAACGGTTATTAACCCATTTCCGTCGGAATCTACTTCACCAATTTCTTTGGCTAAAGCTAATTCCTCCCGTCCAGCCTCTTCTAAGGAATCACAAAGTGTTTGGCCGATGATATCTGCAACTGTTTCCGTATGTTTTGCATACTGCCTGTAGGAAATCACAGGTATATTTAATGCAGCGTGCTGCTGCTGTATGTCTGAATAACCAGAACCATTCAAGTTCAGTGAATTGTTACCAGAATCCTATGTTGCTATCTCCTTTTCAATATTCCACATTTGACATTTAAAAGTCAATGTACTTATCAATCCGTCCATTTTTTCTTTGATAATCTCCATATTAGAAAAGTTGCATGAAAATGGAGAATGATTATTCAAACCTTGAATATATATATATATATATATATATATATATATATATATATATATATATAAGTTAAATAAAAGCTTTTAAAAACGGTTGTAATATAAATAATAAATACTAAAGCAGTGCAATTGCTCTCCTTTTCCTTGACATAGGACGTTTACTGGGACTCATTTTTTATCTTGTCTCTTATAACTTATATCACTAACCTAATGTAATACTTAAAAATACGCGTAAACTAAAGAACTTTTAACTTATACCACTAAACTAATAATATATTACTTAACATACACGTAAACTAAATAATTTCAATGTTTTCAAAATAAATAAGAATACTGTAAACTGTAAAAACTAAGCAAGTTGATAAAGAAAATACAAGAATGAAAGAACTAAAATGGATTCTAATTCAAGCGAACTAACTGACCGTACCCATAGAGAAATAAAAATAAGACCGTACCGTACGCTCATGTGATTTGACGTCACTAATGCGATAACGATCAAGCTCAGCGACAATGATGAGGAACACGTTTCACTATTAGATTTCAGTATTTTTTAGCAATTTTCTTCAAAGTTTGAATACGCTTTTCTCGATTATTACTGGACACAGAAAGGTGAAAAAAGAATCAACGATTACAGAAAAAAAAACTCTTTCAACTGATGGGCGTGAAAAGTTTGGTTATAATAGAACGTTAAACAGTATAATCCAATTTTTCAACAGAAAATTCAAAAAAATAAAAAAAGTAAAACCATCAGTTTAAAGGCAACATAATTTCGTATAACATGTCCAAATTTCGAGACATTTCGTCGGTAAATAACAGAGAAAAAATTTTGGTGCACCGATAAAACAGCCTTAAGTTCCTACGAAAAGTTACACACTCAAATTTTATAAGCTCTATTTCTTGCCCTTTCTTTTTTCAATTACAGTTTCTTTCTAAACAAGTAATTGTTTTATTTCACTATATCAATTCAACAGGCCAGATAAAAGCAACTTTGAAAGTCCATTTTAGTTTCTCTACTGAGCTGTCGAAGGCTAGCGGACTAATTGGGCTTACAGCAAGAACAAAGCCGCTGAAAGAGACACTGTTGCATATAAGCCTCTCCATGGAAGGGATGTTGTAAACCGGCACCCTCCAAGAAGTTTATATGCAAGTGGTAAATTAGCGAACGTACTGCTTGAAATGGAAAACCTCCAAATTGATGTTTTAGATATAAGTGACGTACAGTGGCCAGGTTCAGGCAAACAAATTACAAATAATGGAACCATGTATTATTCAGGTAACAACGAGGTTCAATCATCGCTATGGTGTTGCTATCTTAGTTGCAAAAAAGGTCAATTACTCTGTGGTAAGTTTTACTCCTTATTCTGATAGGATCTTATCAATACAACTACAGTCTAAAAAAGGTATAGTAAATTTTATTCAAGTTTATGCTCCTACGGCAGATAAAGATGACGACGATATCGAACTGTTTTACCATGATTTGGAACAAGTCTTAAAATCAATGAAGAAACATCACACTACAATAGTAATGTGCGACTTCAATGCCAAAGTTGGTCAGGGAAGAGTGGATGGATATGTGGGGGAATATGGTCTAGGAAATAGAAATGAACGTGGTGACCGTTTGATACAATTTTGCCAGACGGAAGAATTTGTAATAGCTAATACACTTTTTAAGCTACCAAAAAGAAGATTGTATACATGGAAATCTCCCGTGATACAACGAATAGAATAATCCGAAATCAAATTGACTTTGTCCTTATTAGACAAAGATTTCGTAATTCTATACTGTCTGCCAAAACTTACCCTGGAGCAGACATCGGTTCAGACCATAACCCCATAGTAGTCACATTACGAACCAAATTAAAACTGGTTAAAAAACCCACACAAAGTAGAATTGATATTAAGAGATTAAGGGAACCACAAACAAAGGAACAAACTGTAAAAACTCTTACTGAAAATCTACGTAATGCCCAAGAACTGAATAAAAGTAGCTATAACATTGATCAGAAATGGCAAAATATAAAAGTAGCAATAATTAAAACAGCAAATGAAAACTTAAAACCAAAGAATAAGAAAACATAAAGATTGGATGACTGAAGAAATACTACTATTAATGAATGAAAGAAAATCATTCAAAACAAAAAATCCAATTAAATATAATGAAACTGATCGATTAATAAAAAAGAGAATAAAAGAAGCTAAGGAGAGAATGTTACATGAGCAGTGCCAAGAACTAGAAGAAATTGAGAAAAAATGATTTTTAACATGCATAAAAGAATTAGAGAATTAACAGGAATGAGAAAAACACTTCAAACTAGGCAACTAAGAGATGAAAGGGGTGCACTTATAACAGATATAAACCAAAAAATGCAGAGATGGACACAATATATAGCACAACTTTTTGAAGACAAAGAGAGAACAGAAGCACCAAAAGAATTTAAGGATGATACTGGGCCTGACATTATACGAGAAGAAATTGAATATGCAATGAAACAAGCTAAAGGTGGTAAATCTCCCGGGCCTGATGAAGTTCCTATCGAATTACTTAAAATTGTGAATACTGAATCTATTGATCTTCTTTTGGATCTATTCAATACCATATATAGAACAGGTATAATACCTAAAGAATGGCTCCAATCAACATTCATACTGCTTCCCAAAAAAGCCAATGCAAAGGAGTGCAATGAACATCGCACCATAGCCTTAATGAGTCATGTCTTGAAATTGTTTTTAAAAGTAATTCACAATAGAATACATAAGAAATTAGATGAAGGCATAAGTAATACACAAATGGATTTAGGAAAGGACTGGGAACACGAGATGCACTGTTTGCATTAAGTGTTCTTTCGCAGAGATGCTTAGATATTAATTAGGAAGTATATGCCTGTTTCATTGATTTTGAGAAGGCATTTGACAGAGTGCAGCATAATCGACTTAAAGAAATTTTATTAAATAAAAACATAGACAGTAGAGACATTAGAATCATCTGTAACCTCTATTGGAATCAAACAGCAAAAGTGAAAGTTGAAAACGAACTGACCAAGGATATCCAGATTCGCCGTGGGGTCCGCCAAGGGTGTATTTTATCACCCTTGTTATTCAATTTATACAGTGAAGCCATCTCAGAATTAGCGCTTGCCGAGATCAGTGAGGGCCTTATAATAAACGGTGAGCCACTTAATAACATAAGATATGCTGACGACACCGTCCTTCTGGCAGGAACACTAAAAGAACTGCAACACCTTGCTGAACAACTAAATATATATTGCAACGATTATGGACTAAAAATCAATTTGAAGAAAACCAAGTTCATGGTATTTACAAAAGCACAAAACATCAAAGTTAAGCTAGTACTAGATAATACAGAAATTGAACAAATATCTTCGTACAAATACCTTGGAGCATGGATCACAGAAGATACTGATCAGACAAAAGAAATAAGATGCCGCATTGAAATTGCGCGGTCAACTTTTAATAGAATGAGAAAACTTTTTTGTAATCGCGATATCAATATATCGCTCCGGATAAGAGTGCTTCGATGTTATATTTTCTCTACCCTTTTGTATGGAGTTGAAGCTTGGACACTTAAAAAATCCAACATTAAAACCTAGAAGCATTCGAAATGTGGTGTTACCGACGTATTTTGAAAATATCATGGATGGATCGCAAAACAAACGAACAAGTTCTCGAACAACTAGGAAAACAATGCGAAGTTTTAAATTCCATAAAAATCAGGAAATTGGAATACTTGGGGCACATCATGAGAGGTGAAAAGTACGAACTACTAAGGAATATAATGCAGGGTAAAATCAAAGGTAGAAGAAGCGTAGGAAGACGTAAAATCTCGTGGCTACGCAATCTCCGTGAATGGTTTGGATGCAGTTCAATTGAACTATTCAGGCGAGTAACCAATAAAATTATAATTGCCAGAATGATTTCCAATCTTCGATAGGAGTGGAACTTGAAGAAGAAGGAGTACAACGAACAGCGTAGACACAGAACGATTCTTCAGCAAATATAATAGTGTAGTGACAGATCGAAGAACAGCTCTTCAAGCGTCTTAAGAATGTCGAAATTACAATGATGTTAGCTTTTAATGAATGTTGTTTGTTGTTTTACTCGTAGTTAAAAATAAATGCGAAATAAATGAGAAATTTTGTAATTACAAAAAAAATATGCGAAATTCATGTTCTTTATTTGCGAGAATTCCGTACCCCTACAGTAATGGGTAACTGCGAGACTTGCAAGACTCTTGCTGCAAGGTCAAAACCAATACCAAGACCGGGGGCGCAATGCCAAACCAAGACCAAGACCAGGTGTATTAGCGCAAGACCAAGACCAAGACTGTCTAAGTCTTGTCTTGTTCTTGCATTTGGCAACACTAACAGAGATATATAGAAGGTATTAAACGAGGGAAGGCAAAAAATTCTTGAATATAAACACATACCTTTTTGTGAACTGGTTTTAGTAATATTTTTCGAGGACTTCGTTTGCATACCAATTTTTATATGTGCTATATTGTATTTTTCGTTTATATCTGTTTGTAGCTTTTCAGTATCTTTTGAAGGGTTAGTGTATTTGTCTACGTCTTCTCCACACTCTTCACATGAAATGTTTTCAGTAGTTTCTATATTTTTTGTATCAAGTGTCTTGCCAGTTTTCTTTTGAGTTTTTTTAGAGTTGGGGTTTAGTTTCGTACTGATTTCTTTATAGTTTCGAGCATGTTGTGTAGTAGTTGTATCTGCATTGTTTTTAAATTCGTTAATTACCGAAACTTTATACAGTTTCTCAGTTGAATTTTCTTCTAAGTTTGTTGATTTTACTACACATGATTCACATACATGATCTTTATCAGAGAAATAAAACCAATCACTTTCTTCGGTAGTTGTAATGTTTGAGTTACGTGGTTTTTCATTTACAACACTTTTAGTGGAATCTATCGTAGAATTTTGTAAAATTTGGTTACTGATTTCGATACTTCTAGTAATGTTATTTGTTGTTGTATATTGTACATCATTAATAATACATTCTTCACATTCAGTATTCTCTGAAAGATCGTCTATTATATCCGAATCTTCAATATTTTCTTTTGGTATTTGAAATTTTTTACGCATGACAAAAGGTGACAAATTATTTGACAGTTTTTGATCAGTGTGCTTAGTTTGTAACTTAAAGTTTTAGGGTAAATCAGTAATCTAATATGGGAGATATATTACATAATAACTTCCAATATTATTTCCAAAATAATTTTCAAACTCGAACCTACTATTGAAGTGATTTGTATGGACTGACTTGTAATAAATCTGGGCAATTTTTTCTTTTTTAATTTTTTTTTTCTTTTATTTAGATTTTTTCCTACTCTCCTTTAAATTCTTTTTATTAATATGTCAAGTCCAATACTCGTCTTGTTTTTATTTGAAAACATCTTTGATTTTATCTTTGTAAGTTTAAAAGAATGAAGGACGGATAAAATATTACAGATGAAGGAAGAGCGAAAGAAATTAATAGGGAGAAATGGCAATGAATAAAAAATATTGCATAAGAATATTCTACGGGAAATAAAAAGAGCGAAAGAAGCATAGCCGATGGAAAATTGTAATAATACGGAAATTGAAACACTATAATGCAAACATGACAATTTCCATATGCACAAAAAGATAAAACATATGCCCAATATAGGTACTTTTGTAGACATCGAAGGCCAGATTTAGACTACAATTATACAATTATTAGGGTTACTAATTGAAGACTACGAATTAAAAAGATAGAAAGAATATGTGCAAGAATTATTCAAAGATAGGACGTAAAATTGTAGCATTTCTGAACTCCTTATAGTGGGATCGCAACATTTTTAAAAGGAACAAAAAACAGTAGAGCAAACCAGGGTTGAATCAGTTGTTTGTTATGGCTCAGAAGTCTAGACAATTAATTCAGACCTGAAGAGAAGATTGTTGGCAGTTAAAATGGATTATTTGAGAAGAAGTGCTCGAACATCAAGGCTGGAAAGGAAGACCAACAAATTTATAAGAAATAATATGAATGTCACAGAAACGGTCATTGGCAGAATATAAAGAAGTTTAAAATGCTAGAGCCGTATACTAAAAATAAGTTGGGTAAATAAAATTACAAATGAAGAGGTAATACGCAGAATAAATATCGATCCAGAAGTTATTATGAATACAAAAAAAAACTTGAACACTTAGGCCACCTCATGAGAGGATAAAAGTACACGTTCCTACAAAATATAATACAAGGAAAAATCCAAGGACGCAGAAATTCAGGCCGCAGAAGAATGTCCTGGATGAGAAATTTAAGAGGGTGGTTTGGCTGTACCACTAACGAAATATTTAAAACAGCAGTTAATAAAATTAGAATCGCCATAATGATATCCAATCTCCGATAGGAGAGGCACTCAAAGAAGAAGAAGTCCACCTACTTACCTACAAAACTCAATCAGCCTGATTTTTCTCCTGGTCGAAAGTATAATAATAATTTAATATAATAAGTAAATATTCAGAGGTATTTTTATATCAGGAAACTTGCTAGGAGTCGACAAATAAATTGCGTACATAGAAAAAATTATATAAAATATGAAATTAAATATATTCAACAAAACAATGAAATCGGTAGCTGAATGTACACACAAGATAAAAATACACCATCAATTATGAAATGGTGGTATACATATAAAAATAAGCAGTAATATGAATAATAAGTACCTTTACAAATACAACAATATAATAATGCACAGGTTCAATTATCAGCGAAGAGAGTCTAATGCTGTTTAAAAATATTCTACTAAAGTTGATTAAATAAAGTCTCTCGTTGCTGTTTAATGGACATACCTCTCTGAGTAACAATTACAGCAAATAACAAAAATTAATCAAATCTAAATTTACATGAATACAAAAAAAAAAGGGTACAGAAACAAAAATTTGACCCACCCGAACTGGTCGTAGTTAATTATCTATCTCGCACTGTTATTTAAAGATTGAGAACTAAATGTTCATAATTATTATTTATTGAAATTCCTTAGTAGCTGATGGAAAGTTCGTAAGCAAATATTGAATGTTCTTTAAATTGAATACAAAATTCAGTAGTTACTCTCAACTACACGTGAAGAAATGGATGACTTTAGATTTGTCCAGATAATGAAAGACGATATGATATTATACCATATTATTTGCCCAGATAATTAAAGATACTATGGATACTTGATGATTGCACTATTTCACTGAAGCTAATACTAGACTATACTACTAGACCATAGTTATTACACATATCAATACTATAATTATTGATTACGATAACCTTTCTAATATATTTTTAATTTAACCTCAGTTCAAGTTTAACATGGAGTTCAAGAACAAATTCTTTTGAATAAAATCAGCATTACTACGTTAAAAATTCAGATAAGCATTATATTGCTCTATAATTCGTGTACTGAAAAGTCAAGGTACGACAGACTATACACTTGACACATACAACTATGATCGATGGTGAAAGACGAGTGCATAGTCAGAATTTGGTCCTTCGCGCCGGATGTTTTGTATAAAACTTAATGAAGTCGCTGGTTAATATTTAATTTAAAATAACGAAAATTGCAATATGTTTAGATTAATAGGTAAAATTAAAAATATTGTAATTCAAACTTTTGGCAGATTTAATAACTTATTGTCAATTCTAGATGAGATTTACTTACCTTTTATTAATGCCGTGTCTGTGGCTGGTGCTTAAGGACAGCTCGTGGTGATATCTGTTCGCGACGACAAGTTTTTGCAGAGTGGCGATCGTACGAAAGAAAATACGTATGTAAAGTCGACTAGGGTGGTTTCTGTGTTATTAGGACCTCCGTGCGTAGCAATAAATTAAGCTTGAAATGTCACTTTAAATTTTCTACACAAAGGACGGGTACGTTTCCATAAGGACTCTGGAGTGTTTTGGGTTGATAAATAGTTTCCCAAAAACATGTTGTTTTTCAGACAATTGTATTCTCAGAACTTGACAAAAATGAATCAGCCAATTTGAGTTCGAGAATTTAAAAGATGTGGAACTAAAGCCATATTATAATTAGCTAATATATTACAATTAAATAAAAGGTTTAAAACTAAATGAGGTCATATTCTGAATAATAAAAATAAAATATTTTAATAAGTCTTAAACACTTTTCCAAACACATTACATTGCTCTATGGTTCGTGTACTGAAAACTCAAAGTGGGACAGACTATACACTTAACACAGACAACTGTAATTAATAGAGAAAGACGAGTGAATAGTTAGAAAAATATATTATAACCTATATTATCTTAATGTTTGCAAAATCTTACCTGTAATATCAATATCTCCGGAATATTCGCTGTAAATATATGCTTCTTCGGAAATGGCCATGGAACTTGTTAAAAATTTTTCTAAACTTTCTTCAAAAGTATATGTTTCATTTTTTTGGACTTCAGATAATATCACACTTTCTGTTGTATTTTCATAAATTGTTGTTTTTTCTCGTGCTGCTGCTATAGTTTCCATTGTTATACGTTTTAAAGGATGTATTTTCTGCTAAAGTTTGCTTTTGTGTTTCATTTGTAACAACTGGGAAAGCGTTGTCTGTTTCAGTCTGAAAAAATTCTGGGAATGTAGTGGCATAAGTTGTTTGTTCCTTTTCAGATATTCTTAATAACCCTACGGGTTCGCTTAGAGTGGTTTGTGAAGATTGTTTAGTTTCTAATGTTTTGTTTTGGAAAATTTCTAGGTAAACTGTAAAATAGTTTCTTGGAAATTCACTGGGTTGTGGTCCATAATCAGTTTCATACGCTTCTGGTTGAGTTTCTGTTTCAGTCAACTTAGAATATTGTTGCGTTTTCATTGTTTGATTCTCAGATGTTATTAATGACATAGGCAAAATAATGTCAGAAATATTTGGTTTAAGTTCGAATATTTGTAAAGTTGTCCCAGTTTCTATTATCTTTTGAGTTGTTTCAGATATTAATGCAGAAGTTTGAAGTATTTTTGTTGTCTTCGCTATTTCCGATGTTTCTTCTACTTCTTCTGCTTGTGGTATTTCTGATAGTCCCAGCGTCTCTAAGATCTCTAGTGTTTGTGTTACTTTTAACGTTTGAGATTTCACTGGTATTTCTGTAATCTCTGATGGTTCTTGTGCCTCTAATGTCTCTTTAATTTTTTGCGTTACAGGTGATTCTGTTATTTCGGGTGTATTCTGTGTTTCTGTTGTTTTTAATGATTTTGGCATTTCCTGTGTTTGTAATGTTTTAAGCGTTGCCAGTATTAATGTAGTTTTTAGTCTTTCTGGCGATTCTGATATTTCATGTGTTTCTGGTATTTCCGATGTTTTTGTCATTTTTAGTGTATAGGACTCTTGTGTTTCAGATGATTTGAGTGTTTCTGGTATTTCTTGTATCTCTGTTACTTGTGGTGTTACTGGCAATTCTATTGGTTCTGCTGTTTGTCGTACGTCAGGGCTTTCTGATATATTTTTCATTTTTATTATTTCTAATGTTTCATACGAGTCCAATATTTCTGTGTTTTCTAGTATTTCAGATGTTTCTAACAATTCTGCAGTTTCTGTAGTTTTTAGTGCTCCTTCTGTTTCTGATATATCTGTAACATTTAATGTCTGTGGTTTTATTGACAGTTCGGGAGATTCCGGTACTTCTGGTGTTTCTTTTACTTTTTGGGATTCTACTAACTCTTCTCTTACATATGTTTCCGTTGTTTTTATTATTTCTGATACTGTTTCCAATGTTGTTTCTGATACTGTTTCGGGGCTTTCCGCAGTTCGTGATGTATCTAATAATTCCGATGTTTTTTGTTTTCCTTCTACCAATTCTATTGTAGATGTTTCTGGACTTTTTGTTGTTTCAGACGTTTCTTCTGATGTGTCCTGTATTTCCAATATTTTTGGGGTCGTTATGTTTTCAGTGTTTTTAGAACTTCTATTGCTTCAGATGTTTCCGATATTTTAACTGTAAGTGGTTTTCTTTGACTATCTGTAGCCTCTGGTGTTTCTGTGATTTTCAATGTTTCTAGTAATTCTAGTGTTTGTGATGTTTCTGGTCTTTTTTTAGTTTCTTGTGCTTTTACTGTTTTTCTTGTTTCTATAGTTTCAGTATTTTCTGTTTCGGATATTTCTGATATTTCTAATATTTCTGAAGTTTCTAATGTTACTGATGCTTCTGTTTCTAAAGCTTTCAATGTTTGTACTGATTCCAATATCTTTGACGTTACTGATGTTTCTAATGTTTCTGATGTTTCTGATGTTTCTGATGTTTCTGATGTTCCTGATGTTTCTGATATTTCTGATGTTTCTGATGTTCCTGATGTTTCTGATATTTCTGATGTTTCTGATGTTTCTAATGTTTCTGATGTTTCAGATGTTTCAGAAGTTTTTGACGTTTGTAACATTTCTAATATTTCAGATGTTTCAGATATTGCAGATGTTTCAGATGTTTCAGATATTTTCGATGTTTCAGATGTTTCAGATGTTTCAGATGTTTCAGATGTTTCAGATGTTTCAGATGTTTCAGATGTTTCAGATGTTTCAGATATTTCAGATGTTTCGGATGTTTCAGATGTTTCTGATGTTTCAGATGTTTCAGATGTTTCAGATGTTTCAGATGTTTCATATGTTTCAAATGTTTCAGATGTTTCTGATATTTGTGATTGTTCTGATGTTTCTAATAATTTTGATGTTTCTGAGGTGTCTGATGAATCCGACTTTTCTGATATTTCTGACGTTTCTGATTTTTCTGACGTTTTTGATGTTTCAGATGTTTCAGAACTTTCCGATATTTCTGCTGTTTTTGATGTAATTGATGTTTTAGACGAAACAAATTTTTTCGATGTGTCTGATCCTTCTGATGTTTTAGAAGTTTCCGATGTTTCTAATATTTTTAATGTTTCTGATCTTTCAGATGTATCAAAAATTTCAGATGCTCCAGATATTTCAAATATTTCAGATGTTTCAGATGATCCTGATATTTTTGATGTTTCTGATGTTTTGAATGTTTTTGTTGTTTCTGGCGTTTTAGATATTTTAGATGTTTTAGATATTTCAGATATTTCAGATATTCTAGATGTTTCAAATTTTTCAGATGTTTCAGATGTTTCAGATGTTTTAGATGTTTCAGGTGTTTCAGATGTTTCAGATGTTTCAGATGTTTCAGATGTTTCAGATGTTTCAGATGTTACTAAAATTTCTAATTTTTCCGATATTTCTGAAGTTTTGGACGATTTAGATGATTTTGATGTTACTGACGTTCTCGACGTGTCTGATGTTTCTGTTTTTGACGCTTCTGATGTTTCCAATTTTTCTGACGTTTCTGATGTTTCAGATTTTTTAGATGCTTTAAATGTTTCTGATGTTTCTGACGTATTTGATATTTCTGATGTTAATGATGTTTTTGTTTCTGACGTCTCTGATGTATCTGGTTTTTCAGATATTACTGACCTTTTTGAGGTTTTAGGAATTTCTGATGTTCCTGCTTTTTCAAATGTTTTAGATGTTTTGGATGTTTCAGATGTTTTAGATGTTTCAAATGTTACAGATGTTTTAGATGTTTCAGATGTTTCAGATGTTTCAGATGTTTTAGATGTTTCAGATGTTTCAGATGCTTCAGATGCTTCAGATGTTTCAAATGTTTGTGAGGTTTCGGGTGTTTCTGACATTTTTGGTATTTCTAACGTTTCTGATGATTCTGATGTTTTCGACCTATCTGATGTTTCTGATGTTTCTGATTTTTCTTTTATTTTTGGTGTATATAGTTTCATTGGTGTTTCTATCATTTTCGGTGTTTCCGAGGCATGTGATGTTTGTTGTTTTTCTGGAGACTCTGATACTTTAGGTGGTTTTAAAGTTTGTGTTGTTTTTAACGTTTGTGGTTTTCCTAATATTTCTGGCTCCTCTGGTGTCTTCTCTACTTCCAATATTTCTTGTATTTCTTCTGTTTCTAGTGTTGCTTGTGTTTTTGTGGATTTGAATGTTTCTGAGATTTTTAGTGTCTCTGGTGCTTGTGGTGTTGTTACTGCTGCTGTTGTTTGTATTTTTGCTGTTTCTGATGTTAATGGTTCTAGTATTTCTAGCTTTTCTTCTGTTTCAGTGGTTTCTAATATAACTGGTAATTCTGATGGTTCAGGTGTTTCTGCAGTTTCTGATGTTTGTGTTTTTGATATTGTATTTGGTTTTATGGTAATTTTTGGAGCGGCTAGTGTTTCTGATATTTCTGATGTTTCTTGTATATCTGATGATTCTGATTCTTCCGATATACCGATGATTTCTGATATTTGTGTTATTTCTAATATTTCTAGCATTTCTGATGTTTGTGGTATTTCTAATGTTACTAAAACTTCTGGTATTTTCGATGTTTCTAATGTTTCTGATGGAACTAATATTTCAGATACTTCTGGTGTTTTTTCTATTTTTAGTGTATTAGTTTTCATATATTCTAATTTTTCTGGCCATTCTGATATTTGAGGTGTTTCTGCAGTTTCTGATGTTTCTGCTAACCTTGTTTTATTTGGTTTTACAGTAATTTCTAGAGCTTTAGATTTTTGTGATGTTTCTGATGATTCTGATTCTTCTGTTTCTGTTGTTTCTGGAGTTTCCGTTGTTTCTAATATTTCTGATATTTGTGTTATTTTTGGTATTTCTAGCGTTTCTGATGTTTGTGGTATTTCCAATGTTACTAGAACTTCTGGTATTTTTGATGTTTCTAGTGTTTCTGATGATACTAGTATTTTAGATACTTCTTTTGTTTTTGCTATTTTTAGTGTAGTATTTTCCGTATATTTTAATATTTCTGGTAATTCTGATATTTCAGATATTTCTGATGTTTCTTGTACTTCTGATAAGTCTTGTATTTCTGATGATCCTGACTCTTTTGTTTCTGTCGTGTTTGATATTTCCGTTATTTTTAGTACTTCCGATATTTGTGTTATTTCTGATATTTCTAGCGTTTCTGATATTTGTAGTATTTCTGTTGCTTTTGATTCTTCTTGTGTGTCTTTTTCCGTTTCTAGCAACATTTCTGTAGTTTCTGAAGATTCTACCACCTCCGTTATTTCCGTGATTTCCAATGTTTTTGGAGATAGTGATATTTCAGGTACACCTGATGTTTTTGTTATTTGTTGTAATGTTTTAGCTTTTTCTGATATGACTGAAGCTTTCGTAGTTTCTTGTAGTTTTAAAGTTTCTGGTATTTTTTGTGTTTTTGCTCTTACTTGAGTTATTGTTGCTTTTAATGTTTCTATCGTTTGTGGTACTTCTAAAGTTACTAGAGCTTCTGGTTTTTCTGATATTTCAGATACTTCTGATGTTCCTTTTATTTCTTCCGTTACTGATGATTCTGTTTTTGTGGTTCTTGATATTTCTGGTAATTGTGATACTTCAGGTATTTCTACAGCTTCTAACGTTTCTGCCATTTTTGTTGTATTTGATTTTGCAGTTATTTCTGCAACTTCTGATACTTCTGATACCTGTTGTATTTCTGATGATCCTGATTCTTTTATTTGCGGCGTTTTTGTTACTTCTAGTGCTTCTGATATTTGTATTATTTCTGATATTTCCAATGTTTCTGATGTTTGTAGTATTTCTGTTGCTTTTGATCCTTCCGTCGTTTTTTCTGATTTATTTTTTATTTCCACAGTTTCTGATGTTTCTAGCAGTTCTGGTATGTTTGTGGTTTCTGGAAATTCTTGCACTTCCGTTGTTTCCAATGTTTCCGGAGATTGTAATATTTCAGTTGATTCTGAAATTTCAGCTATTTTTATTGTGTATGATTTTACTGGTATTTCGGATGCTCCTGATGTTCCTCGTGTTTCTTCTACTTCTGATGATTCTGGTGTTTTTTCTACATTTGTTGTTTCTGGTATTTTTGTTATCTCTAGTGCTTTTGTTTTTGGTAGTATTTCAAGACGTTCTTGTGATTTTGTTGCTTCTAATATTTCTGATATTTCTAGTGTTTCTGGTGTTTTTAGTATTTCTGATATTTCAGGTTCTTCTGATGTTTTTGGTATTTCTGATATTTTTGAAACTTCAAGTGATGCTGGTATTTCCAGTTTTTCTGAAATTTTGACAGGTTCTGGGGATTCTGATATTTTAGATTCTTCTTCTGATATTTCTTGTAGTTCTTCTGTTTCTGAAATGTCTAGTGCTTTTGTTGTTTTTGATGTTGTTCGTGTTGTATTTTTATATATTTTAGTTGCAGTTTCTTCAGTTTTATGTTGTAGTGATAGTTCTGTTGATAATAAATCATTAAAATATTCTTGAATAGTTTCAGATATTAAGGTTGTACTGGTTTTAGTTTCAGTTTCAGGAATTGTTACGTTTTGATACTCTGTAGTTTTGATTGGAGTCAATGATGGAACTGTCATCGACGATTTTTGTGTAAAATTGCTTGTTTCATTTTCAATAGAGCTCATTTCAGTTTGTTCAAAATTTGTCTTTATTGTTATTTCTGAGAAAGTTTCTTCAGTTTCAATTTTAGGTGTTTGCATAATGCTTGCTGGAAAGCTCACATTAGTTAAAGCTACAGTAAGAGCAGGTACTGTTTGTAATTCCTCTGTTGTTTGCTTACGACTTCTTGTCACATATTCATGTATCTGCTGAACTGGTGTAGTTATTGAAGGTGTTAACGTTTTGGACGCAACAGATTTTATATGGGGTATAACCAATTCCCCTTCCTCTTCATCAATTTGTGCCGTTAATGAGTTAGGTGTTTGGGTACTAACTTGGGGCTTTTTACTAACCTGAACATCTGAAACATGATTCAAACTAGATGTTACCTTTTTCGTTTTTTTGTCTTTATGAGCAATTTTTGTCAATTTTTGATCACTCAAAGAGGATACTGTGAACATTTCTTTTTTTGTTTCGAATTCTGGACACTCTTCACATTCAGTTAAAGTTGCAGCTAATAATTTTGTTGTTTCTTTTTTTGTCCCTGGTATAAATTTAGCTGTAGTTTTTTGTTTAGCCTTCTCCTCTGTATAGCTTTTGTGTTTAACTGTAGATAATATTTCAGTTTCTTTTAAAGTTGTTGTATTTTCTTGTTCTTTGGTAAAACTTGATAAAAATTGTGTTGAATCAGTATCAGCTGACATTTTTTTGGTCGTACGTATGTCTTTTAATACTTTTTTAGTACTTGTTTTATCATTTAACAAAGATTGTGACATAGTAAATAATTTCTTAGGTGTTTTTTGTGTAGTTAATAATCTTAAAATTGCCGAAGTTTCGTAGGTCTTTTCCTCTTTGCTTGACTTAAACGTTTCGTTCTTGGCAGTAATATACTCTTGAGTACTTGTTTCTGGTTTAGCTTTATACTTGCTGATTACTGTTTCTGTGATAACTTTGCCTTCAATTGATGAATGAAAATAATTTTCTAACAAACTAGAGGGTGTAGTTGTTTCCATCTCAGTTATGGACGAAATCATTTTTTCATGAGGCAACGGTTTTGTTACAATGATTCCTTCATTTCTTAGAGTTGGAGTACTCTGAAGTTTTTAACTTTGAAGTTAAAAATTCTTCTAATATGCTGGTTGTTTGAGCTGTAGATGTTTCAATTGTAGCGACAAATGTGGACGTACTGCTTCGTGAAGATGAGTACTTCTCCTTATCTTGTGGAATTTTAGATTGTATCGTTCTATTAGTAGACATATTGGAATTTGAGGATATCTGTTTTAAACTAGGTTTTGTTGTATGTTTTGTGCTAGTGTTGTAATATTCTTCTTGTTCTATGGGCAAAGACGCAGTTTTTGTTATCACATCAAAAACTTTGATAAATGTAGATGACACTTTTTGGTCTAGTGGTACTGATTCTGTTTCATTTGAAGTACTAGAAAAGGCACTAGTAGTTTTTAAAACACTTTTTAATGATGTAATTACTGATTCGTCTTCTGTTGTAGGAATTTTTCTGATTGGGCTGTTTTGATAATTATAAATAGTTGTACCTTGTGTTTGATTGTATTGTGGCTGATGCAAAATTTCTTCGGTGTTGGAAGTAATATTAAGCTGTTTTCTTTTCTCTAAAGTTGTATCCATCACATATGTTATACTGCTGGTACCTAAAATTCTGTCTTTTTCACCAGGCTGAATTAGGTTTGAAAATGTTATTATTTCAATAGTTTGATCGTTTTCAGTTGTTAGTTCTCCATACTTTTTATTTGTGTATACAGTTTTAAATTCTGACTCTAAGAAACAAAAAATATTAGTAAATTAATATTTAAGAGTAAGTAATATGACGTATGACATTATAAAATAAAAAGACAAAAGCTTAAAAACAACAAAGCACTTGGTGAATATGGTGTTTCCCTGAACTAATGAAAATTGATAATAATAAACTAATAAATAGTTATAGTAAATAGTAATAGCTAAAAATAATATTTAATAAATTTCTACATGATAAAAACTCAGTACTAAACAGATGGGCACAACATTTCAACGAACATCTAAATATAAACGATATTTAACGAGTTAACAATATAGAAAATCAATAAAATCTACAATATGAACTACACAGTGAAGACCCAATAAGAGAAGTGTCAAATGCGATCCTAAAACTCAAAGACAATAATAAAGACCCAGGAATTGATGAAATATGTTCGGAAACGTATTAAAAAGGTGGTGATCAACTTTTTGCAGACATACATAAACTAATAGAACTTATATGGCAGAATGAATGGGTACCAGAAGAGTGGCTGAAGGGAATATTATGCCCGTTGCATAAAAAGGGTGTTCAACTAGAGTGTAAGAACTGTAGAGGCATTACTTTGTTAGCATCTGCGTATAAAATCTTCGGCAATGTATTATTTGAAAGACTTAACCATTTTACAAAGCATATTGTTGGTCAATATCAATGCGGATTTACTGCTGAAAAGTCAACTACACATCAAATTCAAACACATAGGCAGATTCTAGAAAAGTCACTAGAATATAACATAGATACACACCATCTCTTCATTAACTTTAAAGTAGCCTATAATAGTGGAAAAGAATTGCATTATACAATGCAATGATAGACTTTGGGATCCCAACTAAGTTAGTTAAGTTGACCCAACTAACAATGCAAAACGAAAGCTCATGCGTTAGAATTGAAGGAGAAAACTCTACGTTCTTTGACATTGACTCAAGATATAGAAGATATAAAGAATGTACATTTGTTTAAAATATCGCAGGGATTAAAGCAGGGAGATGGGCTGGCCCCAACTTTGTTTAACCTGGCACTGGAATATACTGGACGAGGAAACATACTGACCAACGGAACGGTTCAACTGGCCTCTTATGCCGATGATATCAATATTATGAGAACATCACCAGGAGCACAGGAAACGTACGCAGAGTTAAAAACGCAAACAAAAGTGCTAGGTCTGGAAATTAACACAGAAAAAAACAAAAATAATGATACAGACGAGAAGAAATATAGTCTCACAAAACATTATACATGAAGATGACATTGAAACGGTTAGAAAGTTTACATACCTGGGAGTAGAAATATACGCCGACGGATCAGAAGATGGAAAAATACGGAAGATAATAACGCAGGCAAACAGAGCTTATTTTGTCCTTTCCCATATATTTCGGTCTAAAACTGTCCACCGAAATACAAAGATGAGAATCTATAAAACCTTAATTCGACCAATAGCATGCTATGGCAGTGAAGCATCGATCCTGAAAGAAACATGCAAAAGCAAACTCGATACATTTGAAAGGGAAGTACTGAGGAGCAAACTAGAACCTGTGAGGGAAAACGGAATCATCAGAAGTCGATACAACAACGAGATTTATCAACTTTATAAGGAAGCACCACTGTCAGACTTCGAATACAAAGATTACAATGGGCCAGACATGTGATAAGAATGGGAGAGGATAGGCTATCAAAAAGAGCACTGAATGCTAGAATGCAGGGAAAGAGACCGGTTGGAAAGTCAAGAAAGCACTAAGAAGACAGTTAACAGCGAAACACAAGCCCTTTTAGGAGTCCTTGTATGGAGAAGATCAGCCACAGACACGGAAGGGTAGAGGCAAAAAATAAAGAAGGCCAAAGCTCAATTTGGGCTGTAGTTCCGTAGAAAGAAAAAGAATAAAGAATGTACAGAAGATTGGAAGCATTTGAGATTTGTCTGTATCGAATAATACTTAAGATCCCCTAGACTGACCAACTCACAAATAAGGAAATGCTGAGAAGAATGAAGAAGAACCGAGCGGTACTAAACACTATCAAATACCGACAGCTGCAGTGCTTCGCACTAATACCAAATAAATCTGGATATGCCAACTACAAGTCGTCCTGAAAGGAAAAATATTTGGAAAGCGAGATCCAGGAAAGAGAAGAACATCCTGGTTAAAGAACTTCATAATCTGGTTCAAGACAATATCTGTGCAGCTTTTCCGCAATGCTGCAGACAAGATAACGATTGCGATAATGATCGCCAACATTCATCACTGATAAGCATACTAAGCAGGAAAATAACCAACAGATTAACATATAAACGTGAAATGTACCAGTCATTAGAGTAAGCAAATATCTAGTTAAATTACAGTACATTACACATTATTACCAACTTATCGCCAAGATTACACTCACCCTTAAAAATATTAAAAGACATCAAAGAATCCCTACAATAGACACAAGAAAACTTAAAGGATCCTAAAGTAAAAGAATGCCTCCAACATGAACTGCATGTGAACTGCAGCAAATTGAACACAAACACCAATAATATTGACGAGTACTGGGATCGATTAAAACATTGTCTACTGGAACCCTGTAAAGAAATACTAAAAACTTCCGCAAGGAGAAAAGAAGAATGGACGAATGACGAGATACTCAATATGATGGAACAACGGAGACAATTTAAAAACAAGGACAACAATAAATATAGAGAGATAAACCACGAGATCAGGAAGATGATAAAGCAGCCAAAAGAAGAATACTTTGAAGAGAAATGCAAAGAGATCGAAGTCCTTCAAAATACATATGATCTGTTTAACCTAAACAAGAAAGTTAAAGAACGGGCAGGACTAAGAAAACAAAATCCCACTCATGCAATTTTGGATAGACACTACTATAACACATACGGACGAGAAAGTAAAAAGATGGGCAGAATATATCGACGAATTGTTCGATCACGAAAGAGGAGATTTATAGCACATAGAACTTACGTCAGAAGAAATAGGTCCATATATTACAAAAGAAGAAATACTAGACGCATTAAAAACAATGAAGAGTGAGAAAAGCCCTGGACCTGACATGCTTCCAATAGAAATCCTAAAAATTCTAGATGAGAAGCACATTAATGTTTTAGTGTCACTCTTGAACCAAATTTATAGTTCAGGCGTATTACCCAAAGAGTTGTTAACATCGATTTTTATTTGTCTCCCTAAAAAGAAAAACACAAGAGAATGCAGCTCTTTTTTCACTTAATATACTGATACAAAGATGCCTGGACGTCAATCAAGATATATACTCATGTTTTATTGACTATAATAAAGCATTCGATAAAGTACGACATAAAAAATTAATGAATGTCCTGAAATCAAAGAAGATTGACTACAACGACCTCAGGATCATATCAAATTTATACTATAAACAGCGAGCAAAAATACGTGTTAACAAACAGTTGTCAGAAGAAATTGAAATTAGATTGGAGTGAGACAGGGATGCGTATTGACGCCAATTTTTTTTAATGCCTACTCCAAAGAGATCTTGAATATCGCTCTTGAGGGTGAAACAGCTGGAATAAAGATAAATGGAGTTCCCATTAACAACATCAGATATGCAGGTGACACTGGGATCTTAGCCGAAAACATTGAAGATCCTCAGAGGCTGGTGAGCAGAATAGCAGAGTATGGAAAAGAGTATAGTCTAACAATGAATGTCAAGAAGACGAAATTTATGAGAATATCGAAAACTCAAAGAAATAACGAAAGTCTTCTAATAAAAGGAACCAACGTCGAACAAGTGGACAAATATGTATATCTGGGAACAATGATTAACTCCACAAATTATTACATTCAGGAGATCAAAATAAGAATAGAGAAGTCTGGAGCAAATTTCAACAAAATGGGAAGAGTGCTGTGTATCAGGGATTTAAAACTGGAACTGAGAGTTAGGTTGGCGAGGTGCTATGTTTTTTCGACTTTATTTTATGGAATGGAATCTTGGATCTTGAATGCGACATCAATGAAAATACTGGAATCATTCGAGCTGTGGGTGTAAAGAAGAATTCTGAAAATATCCTGGACAGAACACGTCACAAACAAAGAGGTAGATAGAAGGGTAAATAAAGAAATGGAAATTTTAAATACAATTAAAACAAGAAAATTAGAATATCTCAGACATTACACGTGGAGATAAATACACTTTGCTCCAACTGATTATGCAGGGAAAAATCCAAGGAAAGAGAAGCATAGGGAGGCGTAGAATGTCATGGCTGCG